TTTTCTGCTGCTGTCCATCACCTGGGTCCATAGTTTTCATTCATCTTTTGTGTTTTGTGTTTTGTTTTATTTCCCCATCATTTTATAATGGAAGTTTGACAGTTACTTCACCTGTGGGTCAGTTTCTTCCTGAGTCACAGGGTACTTAGGACAACTGAAATCCTCTGTCCTCTTGACTAGACTCTGGGCTTCCTTTCCCTAGATAACATGATGTCCCTTTCAAGTGCCTAGATCTCTTTGTCTTTCTCTTGGGTTGATGGCAAAGGGGGTCGGGAGAAGACTGACTCTAGTCTTGTTCCTTTCCAGGCATGGCTCCATGAAGGCTGAGGAGACAGACCGCACAGCTCCCTTCCACTTTGACCTCTGGTTCTACTTCACACTGCAGAACTGGGTCCTGGACTTTGGCCGACCCATTGCCATGGTAAGTGTGAGGCTGAGTCCTGTGAGCATTCGGGGGATTTAATGTGATTTCAGTTTTCTGAGTGACCTTATAGACATCACATCTTAGGGAGAACCCAGAGGCCTTTACATTCTGCAGCTGTGTGTCTGGCCAGTCATGCAAGTCTGGGTGGGTCCCCATAGCCATCCTGTGAGGTAGAACATAACTGCTGTCCTCCCTCATTGTCTTGGGACAGTACTGTCATCTGGAGGTGAAGCCCATCAGCTGAATTTGCATATTATAACTGACCAAAAGTAAAGTCACTTCCACATAGTGAGGGTAACATGTAGAAATCCCCAAATATGGAAGTGTTAGACTTTCCTGAGGGCTGGGGTATACCCTTCCACTCCTTTCTCTGTTTATGTAAACATATATAGAAATTCCTTTTCCTTTTCCTAACCAAAAGGAGATTTTTGTTTTATACCTTATATTCTGCTCATTGTTTTACATTAAATCTCTATAGCAGTGGTTCTTAACCTGTAGATTGTGACCCCTTTGTCAAACCTCTATCTCCAAAAATATTTACATTATGATTCATAACAGCAAAATTACAGTTATGAAGTAGCAACAAAAGTAATTTTATGGTTAGGTGTAACGATAAGTCTTTCCACAGCCACCTGAGTTCCGCCCGCCATGTTAGGGCCCCCAATTAACACACAGTGATTAATATTAGGTACAATGCTGCTGGCCAATGACTAGGATTTCTTATATGCTAAATCAATCTTAATTATCAACCATAACTGCTAATATTTATATTTATAAAGACTTATGTGATCTAGGATGCAGGTGGCGTGCATCCTCTCTTGTCGGGCTCAGTTGGGGCTCAGCACAACATGAGGAACTGTATCAAAGGGTCAAAGCATTAGGAAGGTTGATTACCAAGGCTCTAGAGCAATATATGCAAATCAATGTTTCTATTGCTTAACCTTTCATGGTAAACATGTATTATAATGGCCTGTCTGAGCTACATGGTCAGACCCTGTCACAAGACAAAACAAACCTCACTGCTAAACTCTTCCAGCAAAGTGGCAGCTTACAAATTAACATAGGCTTCCTCCATACCAGATACACAGACTGAGAAAGAAATCAGGGAAATGGTCCCATTCACAGGGGCCTGAAAACTAAAATGAAATACCTTGAAATGCACCTTCTCAAGGAAGTGAAAGACCTACACAGTGAAAAGTTCAGCAGGAGGTTTGCTCTCCCCATTCAGCAGAATAAAAACCATGTATATGTTATAGCATGTTAAAGGAAAAAGAGCCTTTTTCAAATTAGGAAAGATTTTAGATTGTAAATGTGTTTTGTCCTAAGATAAAAGATTAAATAAAATAGCTGGGTGGTGGTGGTGCATGCCTTTAATCCCAGCACTCACTCTATGAGTTGGAAGCCAGCCTGGTCTACAGAGCAAGTTCTGGGAATGGCTCCAAAGCTACAGAGAAACCCTGTCTCAAAAAAAGTAGATAAATAAGCCGGGCGTTGGTGGTGCACACCTTTATCCCAGCACTTGGGAGGCAGAGGCAGGTGGATCTCTGTGAGTTCGAGGCCAGCCACTCCAAAATGAGTGCCAGGATAGGCTCCAAAGCTACACAGAGAAATCCTGTCTCAAAAACCAAAAAAAAAAAAAACAAAAAAAAAAACAAAAAAGTAGATAAATAAATAAATGACTAAATAAAATATAAAATAGTTAAAAAAAAACTATTATGAAGAATACTGTCATGTAGCAGCCCTAGGACACTCCTTGGATTTCTCTGTATCAAATATGACTAGGAACAGTCCATTTACTGTCTACAGGACTCAGTTTCCCTCTCTGGGAGTCTCTTGGCCTAGGGCTTCCAAGAGAACATGAAAGAGCTCAGTGTCTGTGAGGGGGGCTGGTGTCCAGTGGCCTCAGGCCTTCCTGTGAACGAATGCCCTCTCTCCTAGTTGGTGTTCCCACTCCAGTGGTTTCCTCTCAACAAACCAAGTGTCGGGGACTACTTCCACATGGCCTACAATGTCATCACGCCCTTCCTTCTGCTCAAGGTACAGACTGGCCTATCTCCCTCCTATCCTCTCTGCGCTCTCTCTCTCTCTCTCTCTCTCTCTCTCTCACACACACACACACACACATACACACACATACACACATACTCTTCATGAGCTGATGAGCTGGTTCAGTGGGTCAGAGTGCTTGCCTCTAAGTCTGACAACCTGCATTTTATCCCTATATCACAAGAAATGATTTCCACAAATTGTCCTCTGACCTTTACTTGTGTACCTACATAAATACACTCACACAATAAATAAACAGGTAAATGTTTCTTTTAAAATTTAAAAATGAAAAACATTTCAAATCTCTAAAAGTTGGAGAAGCATCACCTCAGAACACAGTTTCTGTGTTTTAGAAAACAATTTTGTACTCCCCATTTTGTACTCCCTGACACCTTCTTTCTGTTTGCTAGAGTCCTTTCACTCAAAAATCAGATCCCTGCAGCATTCTAGCCCACCCAAGGCATACAGGGGACACCCTGGGGTAGTGGAAGGGTCTAGCCTGGTCAGGAGTCCTCCCTTGAAGGTCTAGTCACTTCTAACACTGCCCCCATTCCCCACCCTCATCTGATCTTCCTGGAGAGGAAGGGTCTCCTTCAGCAGACCCTGCTGGATTTATACTGTGCCATCATCAATCTGGAGCTAGGCTGTCCAACTAAGAAACCCACCACTCCCAGAGGGACTTTCTATCCCACTTTTCTGAGGGGAGGCAGAGGTTTTCACACATTGTAACGGAGTCAGGGTCATGCCATGGACCTCACTCTGAACCTCAGCTCATCGAGAGATCCCCTCGAACGCTGCCTCGGTCTATAATCTACGTCAGCATCATCACTTTCATCATGGGAGCCAGCATCCACCTGGTGGGTGATTCTGTCAACCACCGCCTGCTCTTCAGTGGGTACCAGCACCACCTGTCCGTCAGAGAGAACCCCATCATCAAGAATCTCAAGCCAGAGACACTGGTGAGGCTGCCTCCCACTCCCCCAATCCACTCCAGCAAGGTTGCCCTACTGGGTATCTGTTCTTGGAGACTAAAGAGGCTCCCCTGCCAGTCATGTTTCATGTAGCCCAGGTGACCTTGAACTCCTGATCCTCTTGCCTCTGCCTTCTGAGTGCTGGGATTACAAGCATGAAACTAAGTGAGGGCACTGTTGCCTACCTGAATTAGTATTCTCCTAGACTGTAAAGGGACACAGTATCTGTCTGGATATGAAGTGCATGTCTGAAACTCCAGCACTCAGGAGGGAAAGAGAAGAGGACTGCTACACGTTCAAGGTCAGCCCGGTTTATATAGTCAGACTGTCGCAAAAAAGAGGAAGGAAGGAAGGAAGGAAGGAAGGAAGGAAGGAAGGAAGGAAGGAAGGAAGGAAGGAAGGAAGGAAAAAGTGGTACAGTGACTGGTTCCCAGTGGCCCCTGTGGTACCCTAGGGAGGGAATGAGAATGGTGTGTGGGAGGTGTTAAAAGAGGCAAGAGTGGGCAGTGGCGTTGTTTCTTGTTCCAGCCCCCTCACTCTGTCACCCCTGTGCCTTCTCAGATTGACTCCTTTGAGCTGCTGTACTACTATGACGAGTACCTGGGCCACTCCATGTGGTGAGTAAGGGGCTGACTGAGCTATGTTTCATCCAGGGCCCAGGCACCAAGATACTGGACAAGGCTCCCTGGACCCCAGCCTCTGTATTGAATGGAGCATCTAGAATAGAATTATCTTCTCAGCAAAGGCATTATGAGTGGGACCCCTGGTCAGCAAGCAAGGAGACCCAGCTTCTTTTGGTTGGCCCTAAGAGGGCCTTCTAGTGCCTCCTCCCTACCTGAAGTTCCCACAGTAGCCACTAGAGGGCAGAAAGCAGGTGTTTGTCTACTTTAGTCATGCCTGAGCCCAGGGTTGGGGAGGGAGGACTCTGGCCTGAAAACAAACACATTAGAATCTAGTGACTGTATGGTTGTGGTGGAATGCAGGAGACAGATGGGGACATAGGAAGCTGAGAAGAGCCAGCAGGGCCAGGTTTGGGTGGCACAATTTGTGCTCCCCATCTTAGAGCTCCCAAGGGGAGTATCACCACCACCACTCTCCGGAAAATCTCAGAAATGTGGGGTCAGAGCCAGAGATTCAGAGCTCCAATAAGGAAGTTTCCTCTGCCACCCCTCATCCTACACTACAAACACTAAAGCGAGAGGGAAGAGGTGAGAACAGTTGTGCTGGGAGGTGATGAGCTGGCCCTGCTCCTGGTGCCTTATCTGGACTGTGGAACTTCCCTCAACACATGCCCCACACTGGCGTCTGTGGGGCTGTCTGAGGTTGTGGAGGTGATCCTCCTGGTTTGGAGGGCACTCGGGGACCTCTTCCCACTGGAAGTCAGGAAGGGAGGAGGGACAAACCTGGGAATTCAGGAGAGGTTGGGGGAGTGCACTGAGTATTTGAGGGTGGGGGTGTCACGTGACAGAAAAGGTTTGTGTGTGAGAACGTGCGTGTGTGTGTGTGTGTGTGTGTGTGTGTGTGTGTGTGTGTGTTAGACTGGAAGGAGAGGAAGCCCCTGTGTGGGGAGGAGAGAAGCCATACTCTTAGACGAGGTGGGGACTGTTGGCTGAGTATGAATGACAGGCTCCACAGCACCCCTTGGGATCTCCCAGAACTATGTTCTCTCTGACCTCAGTCCTGCTGGGTACTCCCATTTCCAGGCTAGTGTGGCACTGGGCCTGCTGGTGTCTAAGGCACATGGATGAGACAGAGCCCCACATCCCCTCATCTCCATGTGGAATGAAGGACAGGGTGGGCACCAGGTCCAGAGAGGGAAGCCAGGCAGGTTGTGGTTGCCATGGCACCCACACCCTCCACCTTAGTATTTAACACAAGGAGCCCAGGGCCCTTCTTTTGGTTTCTGTTCCTCCCATCTGGACTCCCAGGGTAGGAAAGGCTGGATGTAGAGGCCATGACCCATGCCAAGGGTTTTATAAATCATGAGGTGACACCCTGTGTGACAATGCAAGGGTGACATAGATGTGACAAAGATGACGGGGACACGCCCTGGTCAGACTTTTACAGCTCTTGCCTCTCTGTCACAGGTACATCCCCTTCTTCCTCATCCTCTTCATGTACTTCAGTGGCTGCTTTACCACCTCCAAGGCTGAGAGCCACATGCCAGGGCCTGCCCTGCTCCTGGTGGTGCCCAGTGGTCTGTACTACTGGTGAGTGGACACTGACATTTAGGGAGGGACAAAGGGCACATGCACTGAATGAGCCACCACAGTAAAATCCACACAGAAGCAGTGCTGGAGTGATGACCCACCTCTGTAATCCTAGCACTTGGGAGGTGAAGCAGGAGGATCAGGAGAGAGAGAAAGGAAACACACACACACACACACACACACACACACACACACACACACACACCACACACACACACCCACACACACACACTC